TTCTACTTGATCTGTAGTTGGACTAATGTTACACAAGACAGTGGGTCATGCTGGAGAAATCTCAGAAATAATAAGAATCACAGCAAGACCAAATTAGCCTTTAATTAGAAGCTCCTCTCAGAGGCCACATGTAAGGTACTTTGTTTTGAGAATTGGCAGGGTAGGGCAATGAGATGCAAGAGCTTTAGGCCACTTAAGTGCCTGTGAGAATTAATTAGCTCTGTTAGCCCTAATGGAGGAATTGGGCACTAGGGAGAAGTACTGCACTCCCAAGCCTCCTAATTAAACAAATGGCATAGTTTTTCTCAAAGCTGAGAAAGTATTTTCTTCCCTTAGGTCAAGCCTCTGGGATATACATCTTTTCCTTCTAACATTAGGCAAGAACCTGTAAGTGACTGTTATTCTTACACTAATGAGCTTAGGTAAACTTTTGACCTAGGCCCACTAAATATTCAGGGTGTTACAACTACATGTCCTTAAGAACTGTGACAGACTGTTGGGCGGAGAAGAGGACACAAGGGTCTCCTAACAAAAGACAAGGTTCAGAGCTTGTGTTAAAACACATGTCCACACACTAGCCAAATGCTCCACTAGCTGGTGGTGTGAAGGGCAACCGGGAACACCTGCTGCTCTTTCATTTTCAGCTAGTTGACTGTTTCTCCATCTCTTCCTCTGTAGAAGGGGAATGACTATCTTGCAGGGATCTGGAATAGAGACAAGATAACTGACAAAAAGAGCTCAAGTTTGCCATTTTCCCCACCTCCTTAAAAAAAATGATGTTAGTGAAGATTGATATAAAAGTTCAAGGTCAGAATTTGTCTATGAAAGCAGGTTTATATATTTATTTGATATGCTAACTAAAGTCATTTCAAAATTGGCCTTCGTTCTGAAATCAAAACCATTAGCAATGTGGAACTAAAAGACACCACATTGTTTAAAGAGAAGGATTTGTGTGGGGGAGAGCAAAAATCACGATCTGCCAGACCCATGCAAACAGCAGTGGTTGTGAGGGAAGCTCTGGGCTGGGGTGTCACTTGAGGGTACAGTACTTATCCAGTATGCCCACAGCCCTGGGTTTCATCTCTAGCACTGGGAAAAAGGTAAAGTAATTATAGATACAAGTGCTTTTAAAAACAGTAAGGAAAGTCAAGTTTTGACATGGTTAAGCAACATGTTTTGAATACCTCTAACACTAGAATGAAGCAAGTGCCATACTACAAAGACAACTGGAATTGCTCTGACATAGCAAAATAAATTCACATGCAATTTCACCAGGCATGACAAATCCTCTTCCCACTTGCTTTATTCAAAAGGACTAGAAAGCTGAAATGCAGTTATCTCCTGAGGATTTCTGTGTAAGATTGTTTCCTAAAAATACCAGGCAGCCAAGAATACCTATTACCCATTAGCAGAGGTTTAACATACTAGACTGATCTATGTAAACCCTTACATTGCTTTCTTGAGTATTTATCTGGTTGTATTATGAATCCAAAAGTTTAGTGTAGATTCATGTACACATGACTTTCATACTACTGCCAAGGAAGGGCCTAAAAATGCCTGAAAAGGGCAGATACTATGACCAACACTCACTTCTTTGTAGTGGATTGGTTCCCCCAAACCCTGCAAATATAACAATCTACAGATATTCATGTTTACTACCCAAAATTGGACAGTATCTGTACAGAACCTATGCAAGTCTTTTCATATATTTAAGTTATATATGGATGATGTATGTTGAGGAAAATTTGCTAGGTTCACATGATTGCCATATGAAAAGTAATTGCGCTCTTAGTGACTTAAAGTAATACAGGCAAATACATTATTTGATGTAATATAGTCTCTGTGTAAAAAAATAAACCAAATCTTGATATTAAATTAAAAACGCTCATGTTTTCTGCTATAAGCACATATAAATACCAGGTGCCATAGTGAGTAGCCATAATTTCAGTACTAGATGAATGCAGAGGATGAATTCACGGGAGTTTATAGTCCAATATAGTCACAACCAAACTCATGATAAATACCTAATATTCCCCAAGGTTTTCTACAAAAGAGAAAGGCAGTATAACATACAGATGTTTTCATACAGACCTCCCAAGTATAATCCTAAGAAGAAAGGACACATGTGTCTTCTTGACTACTAATTCTATTTCAAATCTCACACCCTGTTTCAGGATAAATGTATAAAGAATGTGTCTCCTCTCTGTGTTAACTCTGGTGAAGAACAATACTGTCACCTAATATATGGTGCAGAAGAGGGTGTGAAACCAAGTGACACATCAAGGGCCCTCAAAAAGTTAAATGTGAATGAAACACAGGGTAGAAACTTGAACATTTACGGGACTAGTTGTCTAGTTCTGGGATGGAGCACATGTACAAAGCTACTGAGAAGGTGAGCACCTCCAAACAACCAAACAATAGAAAAAAAACCAACTAACAAACACCACCAAATTCAGAGTCCAGTCCCTGTGATCATCTATCCCAAAAACATACTAGAAGTCTTAGAATGTGTTGAGATCATTGTTACTGCTTTCCCATGTAGTAAGGTCAAAGAGTTAAGTAACAGATTTTACAGAACAGAGTGTGAACTCTCCCTTCACAGTGAGCATCTGGTGTCAGCACAGATCTACACAGCTGCTGATGCGTAGCTGAGAGACATTCTTTTAATTTTCTTGAATAGTTACCACATGGCAGGTGGAGTAAGAATGAATGAGAGATGAGGGGTACCTGAGGATGAAACTAAATGACTCAGTTCTAAAAAGTACTACCACATGTAATGGAAAACACTAGGATATTTCCCACTTAGAAAAAGCAAAGATGCACACTGTCTCTGCTACCAGCAGTAGTAGCCAACACAGCTAGACAATAAAATCTTCAAGAGAAGAACGTTGGCAAACAGGTTATTCCAACAGAGTAATATTTAATGGAAAACCTCAAAGAAGAAATCTTAAAGTCAACTAAAACATTAAAGAATGCAGTGGATGTTACAGAACTAAGACACAGACTTAATTCTCATACTCTAAGTAAATATAAGCAATGGGAGATGAAACATTATTTATGACACAATCATCAAAGAAAACTAAGAAAAACTGAGCCCTTCTAATTAGAGGGGGTTAAAAAAAAGATTCTGGCAATTTTCTGGCAATTATTTCTTGGCTTGGTGATTACATGGGTTGTTCAAGTAATGATTAACTCAGCTTCACACTTTGGAACTGAGTGCTTTCCTGTGTGATTTATAAAACTTTAAAAAAATATACACAGTGTATTTTTACACCATCCCTGTGAAAAGGACTTGGCAGAACTGGAGAGATGATGCAACTACTAAAACTTGCTGCTCTTTCAATGATCTGGGTTTGGTACCTAAAACTCATTAACAGCTTACAATCCTCTATAATTCCAGGTCCAAGGAAACAAACACTGTCTTCTGGCCTTGCAGATACCAGGCACACATCTGGTGCTCATACATCCATGGAGGAAAACACTCAGATACATAAATCTTATATCTAAAAAATGAATTTGGTATTTTATTACCTGGATCCAACAATTTCTTACCCTGTGAAATAACAGAGGATCACTGTCTCAAGGGGAAACTGAAACCACAGATCATTAACCAATGTGACTTACTCCCATCATACCTATCACTAATCTGGTCTTTCCTGTATCTACATGGATTCTGAAATTAGTTTCTGGTGGTGCCTTGCTCCTTCCTATTTTATCAACCTGGAAGCCAGAGTGAACCTCAAGAAAAGATAAATGCAAAGTTATCAAGCCTCCTACCAACCCCCCAATGGACTGTGGTCTAACTTGATCAATATTTTGAAACCAGTCAGACTCTGTCTTAAAACAAGTAAGCAAAACTAAACCCTCCAGTGACTTCCTACTTCACCAAGACTAACAGGCAGTCTAATACCATATTTAACCTCAAGCTTGTTCTATTAATACCAGGCACTTGACTGCCAGTAACTGTATCAAGAATAGTACCCAATGGCTTTGAACTGCCAAGGGATCTGTTCGTCAGATTACAAGGCATAGATACCACATCTCTGCTGAAGCATCTCCTTTTGGGAACCTGGTCCCCATGCTGGATTACCTTCCCCAGTCTTCATGCAAGGGGAAGAGCTCAGTCCTGTCTCAACTGGATGTGCCATGCTTTGTTCAAGCCCATGGGAGGTCAGCCCCTTTCTGAATGGAGACTGAGGAGGAGTAGGAGACAAGGAGGAGAGGAGGGAGGGGAAACTGTGGAGGGTATGTAAAATAAATGAAGAAAATTTTATTTAAATAAAATATATAAAAAAGATTGTCTAATCTCAAGTGCTACTTAAGCTCCATATTTTCTCTCAGCACCATACTTAATTTTCCTTTTAGCTGCTATTACCTGATGCACAACAACAAATGCATCAGATGCTCTGACACCAACTAGAAGGAAAGCCTCACCACAGTAAGAAATTTGAGTCACTGCTTTCAGTCTTAGGTATTAAAGAATAATGCTATCATAAAAGAGGCATTGGGGTTTAAATCCAAAGAAGTCCTTGTCAACGAGCACGTTTTAGTCAAACTATAAACTCTCATCTCAGATGCCATACATGTGAAATGGAAACACTGATAGAATTTACTTCCTTGAGGTTTTATGAAAACTGATACCTACGAGGTCTTGTTAGGATTTTCATGTTTATAAATTTATAATGGAAATACTAGGACTTCACCTCACTGTTGAGAGAATCTGGGTCTAATGATGGAATGACTTAATTTTTTACTGTAACCTGAAGTTCATCTACACACAACTATCAAAAGAATAGCATGACAATACCTTGAAATACCACATGAATATTTGACTCAACTTACTTAAAAATCTTTATCTAACAATTCCAAAAACAGCCACTAAAACTTTAATTAAAGGTAGCAGTGATCACCTTTCCAGAGAAAGAGGTATGGTTTCTGGACAGCATCCAACAGGGTAGGAAACTCACTTCCAACCAATAAACAAATATCCAATCCCATTGTAAACTTATAATCAACTTTATTGTTTTCTCAGGTAATACAAAGTATAGATATAATCAATCAAGCACCAATGTAAACTCTTTCAGTAGTCACAGTACAGATGGGGTTACTGTGACTTCTCTAGTGTCTTCTTTAGACTGTGGTCTTCATATTCAGGGTCACACAACGAATTAAAAAATTTTTTTTCAAAAGTTTTTTGTCAGAAAAATCACTCAAAGACCCCTGTTTAATAATCAATGTCCAGGGTCATAGGATGTAGAGAATACTAGTTGCATGAAAAAATGCAAAAGATTTCTTAAAGTAGCAACATTTACTAATCAAATAAAACCATGATTCTTCTGCTATAGGAGTTCAAAATGGGTACTGGGGAAGCAACTAGAAGTCTTTGTTATTCTTTTGGACAGAAAGCCACAAGCAACCAAAGGATCTACACTACAAAGCTTCATGCTTTGACCACAATGCATTTGACATAGGTATCAAAAATACCCACATTACCCAGTGCATAGCATCACACAATTCTAAATACATCATTGGTCAGGTGAAGTTTCCCAAAGGGAAATTAAGATAGGAGCAAAGGTATTGTAAAAAATACTATATACAGATCATTTGTAATGGGCCCTAACAGTTATTCAGAGGACCATAACCCTAAAGAATAAAGAGATCAAGAAAACTAAAGAGCTTGTGTCTGCTGTTATTAAGAAAGACTTGCACATAGAACCCGACATTCATACACAGGGAGACTGTGGTTATAAGCATTTTCACTGATGCTCATCAGCTGTGGATATTCTCACACATTTTCAGAAAAAAATGGAATTGCATTTTTTTTTCTGTTACAAAGCTGCAAAAACTTTCTCCTAATGTGAGTGCGCATAGAGATGATAATAATCGAGGAATGGATAGTATTATTCTCAAAGTCAGCATGATTGTATTAGTACAAATAATTCTTTGACATGGATGATTTCTGTGTATTGTAGGTTATTTGGTAACATTTCTAGTGTCATCTTTCTATATACCTGTAGCACCCCTCTCCCCATTCTCAAAACCAAAAATCTGTTCAGACACTGACAAATGCCCTGGAGAGCAAAACTGCCCCAGGTTGAGAACCAACGCTGCCTGAAAAAGATTTTTACAGTTGTATGTCGGAAGCATCTGTCAGACGGGTTTCCTCTTTTAAAAGAACAAGCACCTTGCTTGTGAGCCAACAACTAAATAGCTGACCGCTTTGCTCACCTCTTCTTATTGACTTTTCCCTGTTCCTCACTTCTCAGAGTTTTCTTTTTACTCTTATTTCTCCCGTGAGGAAAGATTTCCCTAATCACCGTATTGATAAAGATTTACTCTGGGAGTGCCCACAAATTCTTGTTGATTTTATTACTAACTGCCCAAGCTGAAGAGTCTCTCCCTAAGTTCTTGCATGTTTAAGAACATGAAGTATGTTCAACGTTTCTTGATACTCAATACAAAATTTTTCTCATCCCCTGTTTTCTTAGAGACCCCCATGGGTTAAATACCAACTCAAGTCTTCTAAATCTTTACCCAAACTGCATTTTTCCAAAGTTCCATGTGATCTTTTGTGTTCTGTGTGTGGAGAATTAATGAAAGATTTGTGACTTCTTAAACCTGCCAAGTTTCCTTTGCAACCGAGTACTCACTGAAGCCTTTTCCACATGGATGGTACAAAAGGTTTTTCTCCCCGGTGGGTTTTCACATGACTCCTAAGGGACGAATGGTCACTGAAGGCTTTTCCACAAGCAAGGCATTCATAGGGCTTTTCCCCAGTATGAATCCTCCGGTGTACATTAAGGTTGGAACCGATGCTGAAGGCTTTTCCACAATGGTCACACTCATATGGCTTCTCGCCTGTGTGGCTTCTCATGTGTGTCTTCAGGGTGGATTGGTTCCTAAAGGCTTTTCCGCACTGCCGACACTCCACGCGCTTCTTGACAAGGTGGATGCTCATGTGTCTCCTTCGTGACAGGTAATCGCCAAAGACCTTCCCACAGGAAGTGCATTCATAGCATCTTTCTTGAGTGTGTATCTTTCTGTGTGCAGTGAGGTTGGAACTTGCACTGAAGGCTTTCTCACAGAGATCACAGCCATAAGGTTTCTCCCCAGTGTGAGAGTTCATGTGTGTCTTCAGGATAGACTGGTTTCGGAAGGTTTTCCCACACTGGCAACACTCAACTGGTTTCTTTACCACGTGAATCCTCATGTGTTTCCTCTTTGATAGGAGGTCACTGAAGGACTTCCCACATTCTTTGCACTCATAGGTTTTCTGCACCATGTGGTTCTTCTTATGCAAATTGAAGTTGGACTTCCACCGGAAAGCTCTGCCACACTGTGTACACTCGTAAGGCTTTTCCCCAGTATGGTTCCGGATGTGCTCCTTCAGGTGAGAGGGGTGCTGGAAGGCTTTCCCACAGTCCTGACACTCATAGGGCCTCTCTCCAGTGTGTGTCCGCTTATGGGCTATGAGGTGGCAGCTCCTGCCATAGGCTTTGCCACACTCCTCACATTTGTAGGGTCTTTCCCCAGTGTGAACTCGCATGTGGATCTTCAGAGCAGAGAGGGTCCGGAAGGCGTTACCACACTGACTACAGTCAAAGGGTTTCTCTTTCAGGTGAGTTCTTGCATGGCTCCTTAGAGCTGAGGGGTCGTTGAAGGCTTTGCCACAGTTGCTGCACGCATAAGGCTTCTCCCCAGTGTGAATCCTATGATGCCTTGTGAGAGAAGCACTGGTAGTGAAGGCTTTCTGGCACTGGTGACATTCATGCATTTTTCTCCCGTCATACATGCTCATGTGCGGAGTCAGGTGAGTCCTGTTCTTGAAGGCAACTCCACAGCTGTGGCGGTGATAGGGCCTCTTGTTTGCGGGTCTTCCTACTGACTGAGTAAGGTGAGAGCTGATACTGAAGACTTCAAACAGATGGGTGAATTGAGAAGACTTTTCCAAAAGATGAGATTTGTCCTGCTGGTTAAGACATGAGAGATGACTTTGGTATTTAGACACCCAGTATTTAATTTTATGTTTTTGGTGTTGATGGTTGAACTGAAGGCCTGATAAATACATAGCATGGGATTTAGCATTAGATTACAGGCCCAGCCTCTTTAAATATTACCTCTGATTAAATTAGCAACAATAGAAGCATATTGCTATGACTGTGTCAAATAGTTTTATGTCAACTTGACACAAGCTATGCTATCTGAGAGGAGGGAACCTCAATTAAGAAAATGCTTCCATAAGATGGGGTTGTAGACAAGCCAGTAGGGAATTTTCCTGATTAGCGATTAATGGGGGAGAGTCCAGCCCATTTTAAGTGGCCGGCCGAAACCCTAGATTGGTGGTCCTGGGTTCTATAAGAAAGCAGGCTGAGCAAGCCTTGGTGAACAGGCCAGTAAGTAGCATGCATCCACGGCCTCTGCCATTAGTTCCTGTCCCCAGGTTCCTGTCCTGGTTGAGTTCCTGTCTGACTTCCTCAGTGGTGAATGTGGAAGTATAACCCAAATAAACCTTTTCCTCCACAAACTGCTTTGCCCATGGTGTTTCATCACTGCAGTGGTGCCCAAACAAAGAGGATGATCAAAGACGTCATCGTTCCTGTTGCGTTTGAGTTTATCAAAGGGAAAAGGAGGCACTCACTCATAATCCCAATTCAGATGGTGAAAGCAGAAGAATTTTGAGTACCAGGCTAGCCTGGGTTATAAAACAAGATCTTGTCTTAGCTAAAAATAAATAAATAAATGAGTAGATAGATAGACAACCAACCAACCAACCAAACAAATAAATAAATAAACAAGTGCAGAAAATGTGGTTACTGTGTCAATAAGCTTCATGTGCACTACACTATAATGCTTTTCTGCATGGAAACTTTGTTCACTGTTTAAAACCAAATTAAGCTCCATCACACATTATAGAAATATTTACTCATCAAAACTCTAGAGGAAAGTCTTGGGCTAGATGTGGGATCCTATCTAAAATGGACAATACAAAGCATCTTATTTCAGTCGTAATGGCTTCTGGATCAAGATTTTGCCAACCCCATTCCCAAACTATTTAAAGACAAAAATATAACTATATTAATACTGAACACGTACAAACTGTTGTCATCATTATCTTAAACAATACAATAATAAAGTTATTTAAACATTTTACATACCACACTGAATTAGGTATCATAGGCAATCTAAAAATAATGCAGAGCATATACCAAGATATGCACAGTGCTATGCAGTCAACGCAAAGTGACATTTTATACAAAGAAACTAAGTACTCTTAGAGCTTGGTAGTCACAGGGAGCTCACTGGAACCAGCTCACTGGAGCTCAGGTTTTCTCTCGAGTAGGTCACTTGACTGGCTCTTCTGTCAGCTGACTAGTGACTACCTTGGTCTTCTTCAGAAAGACAAAGATACAGCCTAAGGAAATCTCACCACTGTCACTCCAGTAGATGCTTCCTTCCCCAAAATATCTTCCATAACAATGGACCACTTCACTTTAGATGGAGTTCCCGAATCTGAAAGAAAAAACCAGAAAATTTGACTCATTCAAAAAGAAAGTGAAATGATGAGAATGAAAAGTAGACTTCTTTATGAATTCTAATGATATACATGCAAAGGCAAGGTAAAAAGGAAGAACATAAAAATAAATAAAATTATAGTAAACATCAAACTACAGATCAAAAGGTTCATGAAAGAACAGACAGGGTTAAGACAAAGAACACTTCCTAACATCCTAGTTAACATTATTGAATGTACTTGTTCATTAATGTTTTGAATGCTTTTGCTCAAGGGTCCATGTCTTACAGAGTTGGCCTCGGTATAGTGACACTGAAGTGGCAGAACCGTCAAAGGACAGGGCCTCTTGTGAGGTAATTAGGTCATGGATTATACTGTTCTTAAGTGGAATCAGTGTTGATCTTACAAAGTCAACTACATCCTGTAAGAGAATGCTGTTTTCTAAAGGCAGATACGGTAACCCATGCATGTGACCTCAGCATTCAAGAGGCTGGGGCAGGAAAATCATGAGTTCAAGGCCAACTTGGGCTAGAGTGACACCATGTTTGGAGAAAAGAGACAAATAGTGGACAGTTATATAACAACACTGATCTCTCCTACTTGCCTTGGTTCCTATTTTACCATATGATATTAGTTTTAAAAATGATTATGCTACCATGCTGTCTTGGATAATCATTATTAACTTACCTAGACTTAGTGTGACCATTGAAACATACCCTGGGTATATGTATGTATGTGATTCTAAGAAAGCTTTAATTGAAGAGGGGGAAGACCCACTCTAAATGTGGGCTACAGCATCCCAAGGCTGGGTGGAGATACAGACTGAATAAAAAGGACAAAATAAGCTGAGCATCTCCCTGTCTTTCTGTCTCTCTCTGTCTCTCTGTATCTCTCTCTCTGTCTCTCTGTCCCTGTCTCTCTCTCCCCTCCCTTCTGGAAGTGATTAGTCACTCCCCCTTCCTGTTGCCAGATCATTCCTGCCACATGAGGTACTGCACGTTGAAACTGTGACCAAATAAACTCTGTCTCTGAAGTTACTTTGTGCCTGCTATATAAATGCAATCTGTCAAGTTATGAGGCAGCTGGTACCAGGATGATGGCACCATGTTCCTGAACTGAACAGGAAAGCAACACGGTATTCTCTCCACTCTAATCACTGAACAGAGCTGACAGCCAAAATCACATTCCTGTGTCTGCTGCTCACTCACCAGGAGAAGAACCCAGCTGAATGCCTCTCTCCTCCATCCTCACCTCCTCTTCTTGCTCCAGGTGTGAGATGAGGCTGGGCTTGCCAACCTGATACCCTACTCATAGGGAAAAACACATGCTGAAGGATGATCATGCAGAGGAAAACCCGTCCATTAGATTGGGGTCAACAATTTGGTCTTCAGAATTTTCTGAAGGTGGACAAAGCTGACATAGGAACAGCCAAATGGTGTCATATTTCTAAGGAACACAGTAAAAATCTTCCATAAAAACCAAACCCAAACATACTCATACATTTTCACATGTGAATATTTCGTTTGTCTGTTTAAGTGCTAGGAATGGAAACCACTGAGCTACACCCCTGGACAAGAATGGACATTTTTAAAAAATGGTTTCTCACTGAACTTGAAGTTAGGCTGTTGTCTAATAATTTCCAGCAATTATTTTGTGTCTACCTTCCGTATCTCTGGAATTTACAGATGTTATCTGAAATGACATGCAGCTTTGCATGTAGTTGCTAAGAATTTGAAATCACATCATAATACTATACAGTAAGTCCTCTTACTCACTGATCCTTCTCCATCAATAAGAATGGGGACCTCTTACATTAAAAATTTAGGGTTAAGCTCAGTAACATACTTGAAAACTTTCAAGCTCAATGTAATGGACAGGTCATACTACCAGAGAACCTATGAGGGTGAGTACCTGTTTTGTTTGCTCTTAGCTTTGTTCCAAACCCAACCAAATACTAGATAAAATATCTTATCCCTAAACAGTTGAAGGAATGACGATAGCCTTACCCAGTGAAGTTAGGTTGCTATAATTTTCCAGCATTACATCTTTGTATAGTTTTCTCTGGGAAGAATCCAGCAGCGGCCACTCTTTCTCAGTAAAATCCACAGCAATATCTTGGAACGTCACAGACTCCTGGAACACCATATACATTTGAGGTCAGTGAAAAACCAGCTGACAGCAAGGCAACAGAGGCAGAACATGGGCATGAAAAATCTGATGTGTGACTTTAAGATACGGTCTGCTGAAGGTTTTGGTATATGTGTTGGAAGAAAATTCCCAGACAGTGTCTAGTCCCTTTAAGGAGCTCTTAACTTGTCTCACTACTTCAAATACAAATGACAAGAAGAAAATTGATTTCCACTTCTAGGGTGGCTGAGAGCTTGCAGCTTTAATTCTTTTCTGCTTTACAGTTGATTCTGAGCACTAAGAAAACATAAGAGGAGCACTTGCTACAAAGATCACTTCCTCTAACTTCTTCAATGATGATTACAGCCATCCAACTTCCCTTGTTGACCTAGATGAGTATATAAAAGAATTCCCACATGTAATGGTGGTGGTGAGGGTGTCCTAAAAAGTACCTGTCCCAACTTGGACTTTGAGATCTTATGTACCTGAGAAGAAACATGAGTTGGTACATTCGGCTCTGGAGTATGGCAAGCAAACAAACCCAAATTCTGCTGACAGGAATGGCATTTTGTAGGAAGAAGAAATTCTGATTCCTGGCTACCTGCAGAGCCATGAGATGATACAGCTAAATGGAGAAAATGAAATCCTTGAGATTCAACTGCCCTCTCAGTAAGCATTCTCAAAACACTCACACACATAACCTCCCCCACCCCCACACCCCTCTACTTATTCACAAACAAGGACAGAGAAGAGGGTGTTGGGGATATGCAACCACAGGCAACAATGTATCCTGCACACACCACTTGCTTAGGTCCATGTTTGACTTCAGGTTTTAAGTTTAGCACCTTTGCATTAATATAATGACTTATTTTAGGGATGAGACTCATGTTTAAACATAATATTTATTTACGCTTCCCAATTATATACAAAGCTGGAGATCATTTGAGGCACTTTTGCAACACAGCTATTTTGACTGCAACCTGTCACTTGAGGTAAGGTATAGAATTTTCCACAAGTGGCATCATAGCTACCATCACAAAGTTTCAGATTAGGGATTTTCAGATTAGGGGTATTCACCCTCTATGCAGTCCCATTTCTGAGTGAGGAAACTGAAGTCCCAAGACTCAAAACAATAGATCACATAAGGTTAAATTTCACCTTTACTTTCTGCACTATATATGTCAACTATATACATGCTCTTCTTTGTTTCAAACCTACACATGCCTATATGAACTACCATCTCATTCAGCTCACCCATCCTGGCTCAACAGCTTACACATACGTATCTTCTCTAACTTAGGCATGGCAGGCATTTCTCATTTACTGAGGGCAAGAACAAAATAACTTACCAAATGTGGGAGACAGCCCAAGGGTAGCCATCCTTTGGGGGCACAGGCAACCTTAGTTGAATGTAGGAGTACGTGAAGCTGACAACTGGGGCTTCAAAGGCTGTCTCTCTTATTTAGGGAGAACTCTGAAATTTGTTTCTTGTCATTTCCTCTTGACCCACAAGCTGTTTGATAATGGGTTGGCAACATGCTAAATAAAGAGAAATTCAAAGTATTTCCACTAATAATAGGAACAAGACAAGACTGCCCACTCTCTCCATACCTATTCAATACAGTACTTGAAGTCTTAGCCAGAACAATAAGACTGCTGAAGGATACCAAGGGAATGTAACAGGAAAAGAAAGAGTTAAAGGACTTTTACCCACAGATGATATGATTTATATATATATATATATATATATATATATATATATGACCCTAAAAATTCTGCCAAGAAATTCCTACAACTGATAAACACTCTCAATAACATTGTAGTATACAAAATTATTATGCAATAATCACAAGTCTATGTATTCACAAATACAAATGGACTGTGAAATCAGGGAAACAATACCTTTTACAATAATATATATATTATATATATATAATCATACACACATACATACATACACACATATGTATGTCATTTATATGTATCATATATGTATGTATATATTTGATTCCGAATATAAAGTATCCTGAATAATAAAAGACTTGCTGGAGGTATCACCATCCTCAATTCTCAAATTGTACTGCAGAACTACCATAATCAAAACTGCATGGCTTGCCAATAAAAAGACATATTGATAAATGGAAACACATATAACACCCAGACAAGTTCACACACCAATGGACACCTGTTTTTGATTAAAAAAAAAAGGCAGAAATATACTTCAGGAAAAAAAAAAAGATAGCATCTTCAAAATGGTGCTGGTCAAATGGGATGACTGTATGTAGAAGAATAGATCCACACTTTCCGTCTTGCAGAAAACTTAACCACATATGGATCAAAGACCTCAACATAAGGCCAGATATATTGAATCTGATAGAAGACAACGTGGGGAATAGATTTGTATGCACTGGCACAGAAGAAGACTTTCTGAACAGAACAATAGCAGAGGTAATAATTACTCTTATGGGACCTCATGGAACTGAAAAGCTTCTGTATGGGAAAGGATACCATCATTTGGAGAAAGTAGCAGTCTACAGATTGGGAAACGATTTTTACCAACTACACTTCTGACAGAGAGCTAATATCTAAAAGAAAAAAAAACTTGCACATTAAGAAAACAAACTTAAAAATATGTATTCCCAAAAGAGGACACACAAATGGCTGAGGAGCCCTTAAAGAATGTTCAACATTATTAATCATTAGGGAAATGCAAATACATACAACTTTGAGATTTCATCACACACTAGCTAGAATGGTCAAGATCACTAAAACAAATGACTGTTCATGCTGGTGAGGATGTGGAGAAAGGGGAACTTGTAAGCGTTTTGGGATGGAACAGAAGTGGGTCAGGTATTCTGGCACTCGGGAGCCACAGAATACTGAGTGTTACACAGCTCAGGTGGAAAGGTATCCTGGAGCTCAGGAGCCACAGACCACCTCAGGTTGCAGGAAGCTTAGCAGCTTACAGCCTTGCCTCAGAGAAAGGCTTCTCCAGGGTATCAGCTCCGCTCCGGCAGGACAGGGTCTTCCAGCTGGGGACGTTCGCCCAGTGTAGCAGTTTTGCTTGGCAGGAGGTTTCTCCCGGCGAAATTGCTACAGTTCAGCTCTGCTCCAGGAGAACGGAGAGCAGGGAGCAGGGAGCGGGTAGCAGGTTTCCTGGGCAAGTGTTACAGCCCTGCTCGCTCTGCTCTGCCCAGGGTCGCCTCTGCTCTGTCCCCGCAGCAAAAGAAGATCTTCACCCAAAGCTAATCCAAAGGGGTTTATTGGAAGGGAAGAATCCAGGAGTGGCTGCCCTCTACCAGAGCGGCAGAGGACAGCCTGGTAGCGTGAACAGACACAGGGTTTATATAGGAATTCTTGGGGATGGGCAAGTTTTTCCAAGGTAGGATTGGTCCGATTTCAGTGCTGAGCTCAGACTGGCTAGAGCTCTGCTCCAGGATTGGTTACTTTTTTACACAGGATTAGGGTCAGATTTAGCTCTGGTTTCAGGGCCAAAGTGTGTTTCTTTCTCTGGTCCTTTTTAGCATTTTGGCTCCATTTTTAGGGCCAAGGTACATTTCTTTCACTGACTCTGATTCCAGGGCCAAAGTGTGTTCCTTTGGCACTGGTTTTAAGGTCAGGGTACATTTCTTTGGTTCTGGTTGCAAGGCCAAAGTGTGTTTCTTTGGCTCTGCTCAGGGTGTGTTTCTTTGACTGGTCCCTTTTCCCTACAGAAATGTCATCTATTGCTGGTGGGAATGCAAGCTTGTACAGTTATAATTGAAATCAATGCAGTTCCTCAGGAAGCTGGGAATACATATACCTCAAGATCCATTTATACCACTCTTGAGCATATACTCAAAGGACGCTTCACCCTATTATAGAGATGTCTTTAACCATGTTCATTTCTGCTCTATTCATAATAGTCAGAAATTAAAATGGCATAAATGTCCCTCAACAGAAGTATGAACAAGGAAAGCATAGTACATTTACATTATGGAATACCGCTTGGTTGGTTAAAAAAATAATGAAATTTGCAGATAAGTGGAGTTAGAACAAGTCATTCCAAGTGAGGTAACCAAACCCAAAAAGACAAATATGGCATGTATTTGCTTATATGTAGATATTAGCTGTTAAATCTTCAATAAGTAGGTTACAATCAACAATGCACATAAGCACAGAGCTTAAGTATGAAGCAAGGGATGCAAGGGAGGAATGGGTCTCCCCAGATAGGAAAAATAGAATAGATAGTCATGAATAGATTGCAGGTAGGACTAGAACAGGAGGATCAGATGGAGAAGGAGAGGGAAGAAGGGCGAAGGAGGAAATATGAGGAGGGACAGTTTATAGGCCATTTGAAGGGTTGCATGGTAACCCAATACGGCAGAAGTTTTCTAAAATATATAAACATATGAATGTGATCTAAAAGGAATCACCAAATAATGGGAGAGATGGAACTTCAACTGGACATCTCTCATCACCAAATGAAGCCTCTAGCTCTGGGAATGGGTTGCGTATAATTGAATTTTTGGCCAAAGAGGCCCCACAATAATACTTAAACAACTCAAGCTGTTCCAAGGTTATTGATTGCGCTCTACAAATTAATGGTAAAGCTCTATTGCTAAAGACAAGAGGGGAAGTTGAAAAGGTGCTCAACCAGAGCCTTAACCTCTACTTACAAGCGTTCGCGGTACTGGAAATACTCTGCATGCTGCCAAACAAGGCACCTAAATACCAACCTGGCTACAAATCCTTTGATTTTAGATGGTGTCCTGTGTGCAAGTTATGGTAGCGCAATAGTGGCACAAAACTTGAGGGAGTAACCGATCAATAAAATATTGGAACAAAAGCCTAGACAGGCGAGGGACGTAGTGGAACATTCTTCTTCTAAAGTAATGTAACAATCAAATGTCTTCTAAGGACACTCTGTTGTACTCATAGATCACTGTCTGCTCAGCCATCATGAGAGCTTCTTCCTATTGTAGACAAGAAGAAATACACATGCCCACAGCCAAACAATGTGCAGAAAGCGAGAGACTTTGTAACACTCAACCCTAAATGGGGTATCTCCATCAAATCCCTCCTATCAATACTGACAGAACCTTGTGGGAGAGGAGGTGAAAAGACCATAAGAGCCAGAGTGGATGGAGGACACCAAGGAAACAAGGCCTTCTAAACACAGTGGGGCTAAGGCACATAAGAACTCACAGAGACTGTAGTAGCAGTCATGGGGCCTATACGGGTATGAGCTTGATGGGATCTCAGCACTATGAGGCAAAGTGGACAAAAGTTATATCCCTAAATCAGAAGATATCTCCAAATGACAACTGCTTGAATAAGAAAAATTAAGTTTTCTCCAATGGAGTCTCACTGGAGAAACAAATCACTCTTAAGTCTACGGGCCAGAAGTAGATGACCAACAGAAAATGGAATACAAAAAAGGAGGGGTGAAAAAACAGTAAATACTGTAAAAAATTCATAACAATGTTAAAATGTAGGGAAACTTAGAAGATTCACAATAATGGTCTTCTAAAATATAAAAGATGATTAGATTAATAAGTATACAGAGGAAAGTCAAAGGATCAGAGGAGAGCTAGAAAGAAATTTGGTATGTGTAGCAAACTTCCTTCCTTTCTTCCTTCCTTCCTTCCTTCCTTCCTTCCTTCCTTCCTCCTTCCTTCTTTCCTTCCTTCCTTCTACTTTTTCTAGACAAGTTTCTTTTGTGTAACAGCCCTGGCTATCCTAGAACTTGCTCTAGAGACCAAACTGGCTTCAAACTCAGAAAGATCCACTTGCCTCTGCTCAGCAACAGATTATTAATCAGGGCACAAAGCAATTCAATACCAAAGAACCTTTATGATAACTGTTCAGAAGACTCTTACTTGAAAACGTAAATTGACCATTATTTTCATTACAGACACATAAATGGCTTTGAGTTAAAACAACAAAAACTATTTAAGGATTAGTTAAACACCAAGTATACAATCATAAAGACTACCTTCAGCAGTTTAGGTTACTGTGTGTGCAGTCGGAAATAATGAGGAGGTAGAGGCAGGGGAGAGAAAAAGCAAATAAGATAGGGAAATAGGTAGAGGGAGGGCAGGGATACAGAGGAAAACAGAGGAAGAAATAAACAGCTTACAAGAGTATTCAACAGGTGTGGATAAGGAAATGTGTGAAATATTAACCAGCCTTAAAAGAAATGAAGGTCTGACCCATGCTATGACACACGTAAATAAACAACTGTGCTAACAGACATTAGCGAGACAACGAAGGGCAGATGTATGATATCACTTACATGAGGTTCACAAAGTCAGATTAATTCATGAAGTTAAAAGGCAGAATGTTTTTGCAAGGGGCTCTGGAGAAAAGAAATGAGGGATTCTTTAAGAGATTCCCAGTTTCAGATTAAAACTATAAAAAAGTTGAAAAGATACATGGGGGAATGGAGTCCATTGTCAATGTATGGACTGCCACTAAATTGAACAATAAGGGCTAAGGTTTGTTTTATTTCATATCAATTAAAAAAAAAGACTCATTGATTTTTATGTGTATGAGTGTTTTCCCCTCATGTATGTATGCATGCGTCCTGTGTTCCTGGTGCCTATAGAAACCAAATCCTGTAACTGGAGGAACTGTTCCGAGTGCCACAAGGGTGTTGGGAACCAAACAAGAGTCTTAACCAAGCGCTCTTATCTGCTGAGCTAGACCTCCAGTCACTTATTTTATCTCAATACTTCAAGTGTTAAAAAGCTATTGCAGAGGAAGATAACTAGAGGTACCAATAAAAAAATTGCACATTTCAAAGTCCAGAAGAAAATGTTTTGACATTTTCACAGTTACTATAAATTCTTGAAATATTTAAGTATTCAACTTAAACATTAATTCCCTTTATGATATATACCATGCTACCTAATGACATGTACAATTTTAATTGAATATTTGAATTTTTTTAAGTTATAAGTAATTACATCATTCCCCCCTCCCTCCAATCTCTCTTGTATGAACCTTCATTATTCTTTCAAATTTACGTTTTGGCTTATAAGTAAAGAAATGTAATAAACCACATAAATGGATATAAAGATAAAAATCACATGATCATCTCAGTAGACAGAGAACAAGCATTTGAAAAAAATCATCCATGATAAAGGCCTCAGAGAATACAGTCCTTGAGAATTACCTCACACAATAAAAATTATTTATGAGGAACCAATACTCACCATCATCTTAAACTGAGAAAAGCTTGAAGCAATTCTACTGAAGCAAGGAACCAGATAGGGATATTTACTATCCACACTCCTTTTCAATATATGCTCAGAATACCTGAGGAATAAGGCAAGAAAAAGAAATTAAAGGGATACAAATAGTGAAGGAAAAAGTCGTACTATTCCTATTTGTGGATGATATGATACTATAGATTAGAGATCCCCGAAATTCTACCAGAAAATTTCTATGGCAGGATACAGAATCAACTTGAACAAATTAATACCTTTCTATACACCAACAACATACAGAGAAGGAGATCATGGACACACTCCCATTGACAATAGCATCAAAGCTAACAATATCTAGGAATAAACCTAAACTTTAAACGTCTAAAGAAAGAGATAGAGAAAGGCATTAGAAAATGGAAAGACACCCTATGAGTATGGATTAGTAGAGTTAAAATTATGAAACTGGTCATTATATCAAAAGTTATTTAAAGAGTCAATAAAATCTCAATCAAAAACCTTCCAATATTCTTCAAAGAAATAAAAATATCATAAAATTCATATGGAACCACAAAAGAATAGCCAAAACAATTGTCAGGGACCTCCAGCCATCAGTCAGCTAGGCTGTATCACGTACTCATAGAGAAGACATGACACTAAGACCATCCTGCCACCCCTTCTGACATAAAGCAAATTCCTGCGGTTTACCAGTCAGTTAAAGATTAGCTTAATTGGAAAAACTACAAGGTCCTCAGAAGATAGGCCTGAGCAGTAGTAAATTGTAATAGATAGGATCGGATCCTGCTGTCAGGTTAGCAAGCAACATAGGAATTCCTACCCCTGACCTCTTGCCCTGTAGATTAGGTAGCCAGGCAATGCAGCAGACCACCTCTCCCACTGACCTCTTTCCCCTGCAGCAGCAAGCACACCTTCCCCCCTTCCCCTCCTCACTTCTCCTATATAAATCCCTTTGTGATGAAATAAAGTTGTCGCCTTGATCAGAATCCTGTCTTGGCGTCCATTCCTGTATCCCCTGTCCTCCATCTTTCTCCTAGGTGTCCACCAGACCCACGTTGAATGTCCTTGTGTCAGGACAAACAATTATGAACAATTATGGAACAAAATAGGGATTGTAATTCCAAATCTTATATATTACAGAGCTATAGTGATGGCACAAAACCAGATGTGTAAACTGCGCACATAACTTCAGCCACTCAATATTTGACATGTACTCCAAAAGCATATGCTGAACTAAGCTTCTTCAAAATCCTGTGCTGTAATACTGGATATCCACATGCAAATGCTGCTTACTTTGCACAAAAACTAACTCCAAATGGAAAGGCCTATGAATGAAATATGAAACTCTTAAACTGCTAGAAGTAAATATAGGCAGTATCCCATAGGAGAGGTATAGAAAAGGACTTTGTAGAGAGGATCCCATTTGCCCAAGAATTAAGGCCAGCAATTGACAACTGGGACTTTATGAAACTAAAAACCTTCTGCACAGCTAAAGAAACTATCAGCCAGATGAAGAGGAAGCCCACAGAATGACAGAATCTTTGCCAGCTACACATCTGAGAGAGGATTAATATCCACAATATACAAAGAAATCAAAAAGTAAACAAACTAAAAACAAAAACAAAAAAAGCTCATTTGAAAAGTGGGAACTGAATAAAGTTCTCAACAGAAGAAAAATCAATCGCTAAGAAATATCTCAAAATGACTCTGTCCTTCGTAATTAGAGAGGGAAATGAAAATCAAAACAACTTTGAGATTTCACCTTACCACAGTCAGAATGGCAAAGATAACAATACAACCAACAACAAATGTTGTAGTGTGAGGAAAAAAGGCCCATCATCCACTGTTGGTGGAACTGCAAATTGGTGAAGTCACTATGGAAACTAATGAGAAGTCTCAAAAAGTTAAAAATAAATTCATCATATAATTAGCCTTTCCACTTCTTGGCATATGCCCAAATGACTTGACATCTAAACCCACGGACATCTGCTTTGCCATGTTCAATGTTGCTTTACTCACAATAGCTCGGAACTGGAAATAACCTAGATGTCCTACAACTGATGAATGTGTAATTGGTACATATCTACTATAGTATACTATTTATCAAAGAAAAATGAAATCATGAACATTGCAAGTAAATGCATGAAACTAGACAATATTCTATTGAATTAAGACAAACAGCATGTTCTAACCCCAAATCTAGCTCCAAATATTCAAATGTGACTACATACCCTATAGTAACTCTAGGAACCGGAAAAGTAAAACCAGGCTATTGCCAAGAAAGGAAGGCTGCAGAGCAACAGCTGGGGAAAGGCAGTGTACAAATGATCTAATCAGGGAAAGAACAAAGGGAGGGCTCTTTAGGCAGGGAATGAGGTTAATACAGAAGAAGGGAGAGGGAGAAGAGGAATAGCAGAATAAAAGTGATTTGATAGGAAGAATGAGAAGGGGGCTTCAGGGAACAGGGAGGGAGCTAAATACAGAAGATGGATGGAGCAGGGTAAAATAAAAATAATGATGCCTCAAAAAACTACAAGAAATCATACTATGAACTGTTTACCTTAAAAAACAATAGTAAACATAATCTGTATATAAATACACACAGACATTTCAAATGAACTTTTCTCATCTGGTCTGAATGTGCTCTCTCCAAGAACCCAACTGTTGACAGGTTACAAAGCAAGTCCCCAATGGCAGTGCTAATGACAATGTTTCAATTCCAACCTGAGCTGGTTTGGCCAGGAAACAGAAACGTAGATCATTTCTTCTAAGTCCTAAAGGCTGGCTGGATGCTTCTGACTACAACTCTCAGTACCACCTGTCTGACAGATTTCCCATGCTAAGCACCTGGCTGTCCCAGATTTTACCCCCCCCCCACTCCCCATCACCTTCCACCCTTATAAAATCTAACAAATTTTTGCAGCTGGGTGCTGTCATCCACTGTCTGTGGCAGTCTGGAAAGTTCTGCTTGTTTTCATAAACAGTTACATGCTGGGCATACTTACACTAACCAAAACCCCAATATCAGACAAGGGTTGTTGTCCAAGGCAATAGAGAGTACTGTTATTGCCTTTAATTACCCTGCAAAGGTACAAAGTAAGAGCCCGTTGCTGAAGGAACTAAATACTTGAGACAGGGTCCAGAGGCTCCTGAGCTGGAACTAACCAAAATGCCTTTCCTTAGGATGGGTTTCATTGCACAGGATTATGGTGTGGTAAGCTTCCTCCTTTACTGTCCTCCAAGACAAGCATGGGATGATAACCCTAAAGGAGCAGTACTTGTACGCATACCTTGGCAGTAACCAATAGCTTTCTAAGAACATTAAGTCTTGCTCCACTAGAGGAAAACCATGCCTGGTATTGGAAACATAACTAACTTTTCAGTGCAAGTGAAGTCATGGATCTTACAGGAGAACCTGTAGCCACCACTGCACTAAAAAAGAAAAACCCCTAACTACATTCTAAACATTTGTTCTTATACCTACAGATGAGTGTATTTCTCATCTACAATCAAGGAAACTACTCTTTGCAACAGACTCCCACAGGAAACCACAATCAACAAAAACCCAGTTGTACAGCCCAGACCTAGAAGACCCCTGCACGTAAGGCTCAGGAAACATTTAGGAAGGTTGGGCAGAAAAACTGTAAGAGCTACAAGACCAGGGAGCATGCTGGGAGATTATGCTTACTATGAATGTAAGACCCTATACTCATAAATTCTCACAATTATGACTGCTCAAGCGTAACCTGAACAGAATGACACCAAGCACATAACAAAACAGATGGGAAAAAGTCCACCAAGCCTTAACTCTAGATCAGGAAGTACAGGCAACTGAGGAATGCTGGGAACAGGAGAATGGCCCTCCCCAGGAATTGTAAACTAGCTGGTTGTCCAGTGCCAAATGGTCAGTCTTGAAAACATACATACTAGTAACATTATATGGACTGAGCAGCCTACATTTAGGAATAATATGTACATACATATATGTATGCAGATAATAAATAATGAAAAAATTGGCCATGAATTTAAAGGACAGTGGGGAGGGGTGTATGGGAGAGTTTAGAAGGAGAAATGTAAAAGCCTGTTACCACATACTCATAAGTTTGTAAGATTTGCACAATTGCCAAGCCAATGAGAAACTAGGCAGCAAGTCTTTGTGGTTTGTATGGAGAAATGCAGCAAAGGACCACAGGATACAGAGCAAAGGACAAGAATTCCATGAGGATGCTCCTAACCACCAGTCTCCATAGGACTGCAGAGTCTCATTCCTTATCAGAAGCTACTGTGGGTCTTACCACCTGTGGCCTTTGGGGAAGATCTTCCAGTATTCCAACTGGTACCCTGGCACAGAAAACCTCCATGGCCAGTTGCAAACCTGCTTCCCTTGCTTCTCCCAGAAACACCTGCCTCCAGCAGCCATAGGCAACCTTGCAGAATGCTGATCTCAGACTGGATCTCAACCTTGTCTGAAAGAAAACAAACAGCACAAATCCATCACGATGACCCAAACTTCCTTTCTCGGCATAATACAATGGGTATAAAATATGAAAATAAAAAAAAACACTACATAAAGTTTGTGGTAGTTGGAATGTAACTGGCCCCCATAATCTCACAGGGAACAACACTATTAGGTGGTGTGGCTTTACTGTAGTGGGTATGGCCTTGTTGGAGGAAGTGTGTCACTATGGGGCAAGCTTTGTGGTTTCCTATACTCAGGATACCACTCAGTCTGTAAGTTAACTTCCTGTTGTCTGTAAAATATAGGAATCTCAGTTATTTCTCCAGCACTAAATCTGCCTGCACGCCACCATGTTCCCTACCATGATGATAATGGATTCAACCTCTGAAACTGTAAGCCAGCCACCCCAAATAAACTTTTCCTTTGTAAGAGTTGCCATGGTCACGGTATCTCTTCACAGCAATGAAAACCCTAGCCAAGACAAATGGCATTATACATATTTTGCATGCAAAATATATATTCCTGTATATTTTATTGAAAATAGAATTTAGAATCAACTAAAGTACTTGTAAAATAAAACATTCTTGGTGGTTCTAAGTTTTATTAACATTTCATTAATTCTTTGAGAATTTCATACAGTGTATTTTGATCCTATTTACCTCCCTCTACTACTTCATAGCTTCTCTTCCCTACCCATAATCTCTTAAAAATACTATTTTTAAGCAAATGTCCTTATCTCAGGCTCCTATAATCTTCCTGGGCTGGCTTTTCCAATCATTCATAAGCCTTACATACAGGGATTTACATGCTATACTGCTAAATACTCTGTGTTCTATGTTTAAATATTTAGAATGTTTCTAATTTTTCACAAATAGAAAAACTATACCTACAATAAATCCTTGAAGCTAAAACTATATACTTCTTTCCCCTTTAGAATGAATTTCTAGATGGTAAAATGCTTGACCAAGTTTTATGAACATGTTTAAACCTTTTGTTAGGTATTGGGCAATTATCTTCTGAAACTGCAGCCCCTTCAGCTGTGTACATATTACATATACATGAGGACAAATATCTGACTTGCCAAGCTGATGAATTACAGTTTTGGAATCATTAAAACTGGACAAGGGATACAAAGTAATAGTTAAAAGCAGAACAGAATTTTATAGCTAGCCTCTTACTAGGAAAATAAGGAGGAGGAATATCACTGGATGATGTAATTCAGCTTGCCTGGTATGGGTAAAGGCTCTGGGTTTAATATTCAGCACTGCAAAAGAAATGGCAGGGGAGACGGCACAATAGTAAGGTGCTTGCCATGGGCACATAAGAATGTGATTTCAGATCCCACCACCCACATAAAAAAAGCTGGCCATGGTAGTGCAAATCCATGACCATATCACTGGAAATGAAGAGACAGTATGATCTTGGGAGTCTTATTGGCCAGCCAGATTAGCCAAAACAGCAAGCTTTAGTTTCAATGTTAGACCCTGTCTTAAAAGTAAACATAAGGTGAAGACCAGCCTGACTGATCCCTACTTGGTCTCCTAAATCCTGTTGCTTGTTGCATGAATAATAAACACACAGAGACAGATATGGGGTTCAAGTTAAAGATCAGGAAAGCAAAGCAGCCAAGCCACAAGAGAGCTCTTATCACTACCAAGGCTAAGACCAGAGAGGTGATCCTGACCTCAGAGTGACTGCAGACTTCAATTCTCTCCACCAAACCTCTAGTGATGGGATTAAAACTCTAGTGATGGGATGTTATGTAGTGGGATCAAAGGTGTATGAGCTCTGTTTCTCTTTTAGTCTGATTCACTCTGATGTAGGTCCAGGATGGCCTTGAACTCACAGAGATCTATCTGCCTCTGTCTCCCGAGTGCTGGGATTAAAGGTGTGGCCACCACTGCCTGTCCACTGTAGTTAACTAGTGAATTAGGTGTTTGGCTAACTAGTGGCTTAGCTCTTAACTAGGTGTGTGACTAACTAGTGGCTTAATGCTATACTCTGATCTTCAGGCAAGCATCACTGCAGTTGTCACCAACTTTGTTTCTTTGCTGAAAACCTTCTGATGGTGTCTAACTTTCCTCAGAACAAGGTCCCATACCTCTGCCACCTCGCCTTGACTATTTTCCCAGTCACTGGATCATGCTAGCTCACACTGACTTCTTCATAGAGCCTCAAATCCCTAGACAGGCACACCCTTTAGGTCCCTGGCACTTGCTATCTCTTCCTTCCAATCTTCTTCCCTACACTGTGTCTGGTTGGTTCTTCTCTCTAGGATTTTTATTACATTTAAAGGCTTTTGAAATAGTACTTTCTATCTACTCCATTTACTATGAAAACTTGTGTTTTTTTAAATCCACATTCATTTCCCCCAAAATACTTATGTCTCCTTAATATAATTTACTAAGTTATAACAGGCTATATTTTACTACAAATAGGCAAATCTGAATATGAATAATCAATAAAGTAGAACTTAGACCTGGGAACACAATTTAATAGCAGAATGTTTACCTAGTAAGCATGAGGCCCTGAGTTTGAGTCCCAAAATAAATCAACACATACAATAAAAGGGAAGAAGGAATGGAGGGAGAGATGATACAAGGTCTTTCAAATGTAGCTGTGATCATCCCCATAGAAATGAAGATATTCTAAAGGTTCCTTGATACCCTTCCGTTTGCTACTAGACTGAGATAATTCAATCCATAAAATAAAAGTTGCCCAGAAATCTCATGCTGGGAGAAAGAATAGGATGAAACCATTCAGAAAGGGAACTAGTCTTCAATAAAGAGGATTCTTTCTGATGAGGGTGGAGAGATGGCTCAAAGGTTAACTGTACTGGCTGCTCTTCCACAGGACCTGGGCTCAATTCCCAGCACTCACTTGGCAGCTCAAGACTATAATTCCAGTTGCAGTCACACAGGCAAAACACCAATGCACATAAAATAGAATATGAATACAAACACACACACACACATACGAGGCTTGTGACAATTTATCTGATAACCTTAAAGAAAATACTAAATATTCACTGGAACTGTTAATTATGAATAATTTATCCCCTCTATTTAAGCTGACACCTCATGTCAGCACCAGTAGATGGAATTCAGGAGTCAATACAACAATTTCTCTTTCCACTGTGGATTGAATGAATGAATATCCCTTTCCTACTTTTCACTATTATCTATGGTATCTGTCTTTGTAACACAGTGAATATTATCCCACTGGATACTGTGTCTTCAATTCTACCATTCAGATACATTTTTCTCATCATTATGTACTAGGGAGAAACAACTGGCTAAGTAGGAGAGGTTGTTACTATCCCATCTGGAATGCACAGGATAAATAAGATGTTAAGTTCAACTACCTGTGATTCATTTCACTATAGACACTTTGGGTTTCACATGTTGGCCCTGAGGAAGGACTTACCTGAGCTGACACTGGAACTTAGCAGAACTTACTCTAGTCCCTGACTTACTTCTCACAAGGCAGAAGCTATGCCTCATCTGTCAAGTTTATGATCCAAAATTGTAACTCCAAACTGTCCATTGTAAACTCCTTTTTTGTGGCTGCAACTCTTCCAGTGTTCAACTTTATATCCATAAATGATTTTACAAGACAGTGTCAGGTTATTCATATTTAACTACAACTACTAGCTACAGAACAGCACTTTCACTGAGGTTTGCCCTTGTTTCAGTGCTATTCATGCATGCAAACATATACATAGTAATGAAGACTACAACATTAGTGCTTCTTCAATTCCACTAGTATTCAGATCCACTTTTTTCTCTGTGTTATGACCTAGACTAGGGCAATACAAAATGAGTTGCATTCTCAGTAAATCAATATATCAATATACCTGCTGTGATCTAGGCCGTGTCCCAGGGGCTAAAAAATGGAAGAGTGAGATACATTTGCAACAAAATGTCAAGGAATGAAATTCAGAAGAAACTGCTATAGTAATCTACATATCAAAGGAAACAACATATGATAATCATATGTAGAAATGAAATTATATATATATATACTGAACATGGTGATGCACACCTTTGATTGCACCACCAGGGAGGGAAAGACAGGTGGCTATGTTTCAGTTTGAGACCAATCTGAACACTACAGTGAGTTCTATGACATCCAAGGTTGCATGAGACACTGTCTCAAAACAAAAAAATGTAATTTTTCCATTTTGGGGGATGGTGTGACAGCCTAAGTCAGGGGGAACAAAATAGTGTCATAAAAATTTAATGAAGAAAGTAATAAAGAAGCCAGAGCAGGTCTATAATCTCAACAACTGATAGGTGGAGGGAGAAGGATCAGCAGAGTTCAAAATCATCCTCAGCTATCTGAGAAGTTCAAGGCCACCTTGGGTTTCAAAGACCCTGTCCCTCCAACACAAAAACAGGTAAGAAAGAAGAAACCTATGAATAGAAAATACATATTATAAAATGGATTGTCTAAGTCAAGCAAATCTCTAATGTTTTATTATTTAAAAAAGTATCTAAACCAGGAGTGGTACCCATACCTCTATAATCCCAGCACAGAGGAACGCTGAAATATGAAGATTACAAATTTGAGAATCCAGTCTGGACTACATTGTGAATCCTGTTTAAATAAATAAAAAAACATTAAGTACATAAATATTAGAAATACATAAAATATATTAAAACATAAGTGATTATGAACAAACTTTGATTTTATAGTTTATACATTGTGTGGAAATAATAACATCCTAAAGAAAGTTTTATCATAACAAAAACAAAACATGGATGCAATATAGTCCTTCTAGAAACTCATGTACAGCTTTTTATCTCTTTTGTTTTTTTGAGACAGGGTTTCTCTGTATATCTTTGGAGCCTATCATGGCACTTGCTCTGTAGACCAGGCTGACCTTGAACTCACAGAGATCCGCCTGCCTCTGCGTACCATGTGCTGGGATTAAAGGCGTGCGCCACCAACGCCCAGCCCTCATGTACACCTTTAAATAAAGTTTTCCTGGGCTGGGAAAGGTGGCAAAACCCCTCAACTGCAGTACAGCACTCAGGCCTCCAGAGCAGGAAAACTGGGAGGCTACAGAATAAATAAGATCATACTTTCACGACAAAAAAGTGTGCATGTGTGTTGGGAGGGAGGTACACACATGAAAGTCAGAGGACTGTCCCTTCTAAATAAGTTACTAATACAAATTCAATGTACCATTGGGAAGACATCTGTCTTAATTCCACTATTCTCTGAACAACAACAACAAAACAAATCAACAAAACAAAGAAACAAACACTAGGTTATTTGTCCATTCATTCAATATACCATCATTATATTGGCCAAGACAAGGTACTTAAACTTATCAACACCAGCAAGACAGTAGGGAAAAGAAAGGACAGAAAAAAAGAAATACTTGGTAAAAAAAAAAATACAGCAATGTATCAGAAAAAGAAAAGAGGTAAAAGCAAAAAATGGCCAATATAAAATAAATATATAGATAGATAAAATTAAATGAACACTTCCAGAAAAAGACAAGTTCCTTGACCAAATAAACATAGAAAGAAAAAAATTCCAGCACATGGGAAGTTCATTTTACTAACAGTCAGAAGGGAAACAGAACCACCTATGATTTTGCTAGACAAATTCATTAATGATATTTCAAGCCTCCAGCCAAACCAGAGTATAGCAAGTGTGTATAACTCAAAGGAAGCATACATATTTAGTTATTTTATTTAGGTGATAAAACTATTATGAATAACATCCAAAATATTATACTAAATTAGTAGGAATACATATTTTATTTCAAATTGAGGGAAGTACAACACTGTGCAGAAAATATAATTGATCGCAGGAAGTCAAAAGTTCTCAGTTACCAATAGTAGCAGATTAACTATAAAATTCAATGACATTAAAAAATGCCATATTCTACAGATTTATACACAGATTCAACAAACTTTGGAAACAGGAATCCAGTATCTGGATTTTATAATCTCATTTTAAAGTATACGGTATGACAATGACTACTTGTTGAATACAAAATACTTGGAAATCTCTATAAGAATGGCATACTTGCAGCCAATAAAATAAAAATAAATAATAGTGCAATATGTATTCGGGGAACAGTAAAATCCATATAATTAATTATAGTGGAGAGTGAAATATGGACTATAACAAGAGCATACAATCCTTTAAGGTTTAATGATCACCATCACAGTCTACCTTGTAAATCCCTTCAATGGTTAACTTTTTCAATTTTTCATAAAATAAAAAACATTTATTTTAATTTTAGTGTACAATTCACTGGCACCTAGTAGTACATTCATTATTATGTAATCATTATCACTGACCTCTATAATCATGCTTATTATTAGAGATATTGTTGTCACCTGATAGACTGCACAACAAAAATCTGGCCTCTGCAGAGACTATAACTCTTGCTGTCTTTTAGTTTTAAAGTTTGAGTATGAAAGTTATGACCTTTTTTTACGTGTTTATTGTCAAAGGCCAAAGGGCGAGATATCATGCGCAAAATTCAAGGCAGAACACCAGCGAATACTATATTAAATGAACTAACTTTCGAGTTAAATTGGCAGTAGGTCACACTGAATGACAGCTATTTTTACAAGTAATGTGTTTTGTTTGAGGACTGTCAGCTAACAAACGCACAAAGTAATTGAAGACTTAACTGAAAACAGTAAAGATATCATGCAAGTTCAACAGTAACAAAAAGAAAAACAGCGTGCTTATATCAACCACAGTTTCAGAAAGAAAACTCATGTTTATAGCAACTCCTGCCATCAAGTCACCTATGAATATCCTGCTCTACGGATTTTAAATCGAGGGTCCTTTGTCACCTGTGAAGTGTTTGAACCCCAGTTTTCCTTGGTCGCTTGCTAAGGGCAACAAGAGGTGCACATCCTAAGGACCCTGGCTTCCTCCTCTCTTAAACCTGCCGGCCTCTCCTTCCCGGAGCTAAAGGGTTAAGTGTGGAAGCCGTGCTTACCAGACTGAGGATGGGATCCAGGAAGCGGAAGTCTCCCCAGCTAAGGCGAAAGGACTAGAAGTTCACATTGTGGATCCCTAACGCTTCGGCGAACAGAAGGGTTCGGACACATACAAGGGGGGGAAGCCTTAAACATTTTTTCGCACATGTGTCTTATTCCAATCGCCTCTTTAAGGTAATGGCTTCTACTTCACTTCCGCCTCCGAAATCTCGCGGAGCTTCACTGGCCACTTATAACGTGAACCCTTCTGGGGTGCATTTTGGGAAATGAAGTTTGGTAGCTTTGATGAGCCCTGCAGCATTGAGGAACCTAGAAACCTCGCGAAGCCAATTAATTGCTTCTAAATAAGAATTACTCTCGAAATGGTTTATGGGAAATGTAGTTCCTAAGTTTAACAGCAGTCAAAGGATGCTCAACTAGAGTGTGTATAATCAACCAAATTTTCCCAAGTTCTAACTGCCCCACAGCATCGTATGCTTCTGTCCTCACCTTGTTTTCCTTTCTATAATCATCAACTTCTCAGCAGTGACGCTTTCTTCTTTAAATAAATATTTTGTATGCAATCACCAAGCTGAATCATTCATAACCCGCACCTTTAACCCCAAAGCCAGACTTACTTACTTAGAAGATATTATATAAACATACTAAAATACTGAAAATAGATTCCTCCAACCTCAAATAATAGCTGTTCTATCACTTGTCAATTTCAAAATAAGTGTCAAGACAAAACAGCTCTTGCTACAGATGTATTTGTTCTGAAACGAATACCAGTGACTATGACCAAGAAGCACCAGCTGAGGCTATCACAATGGAAAAATACCACCACAAAACTGCACACATGAGATTTCCTTGGTTGCAGAATAAAAAAAAAGTGAAAGATCAAGACATTTAACATACATGCTGGCAGAGTGTATACAGAAAAGCAAGGCAACCCCTGAGGCCTGCAGTAGTGACCATCTGGCACTTGCTTTCTGTCACCTTGTCATTGTCTGAATGTGAAATGACAGCTATAAGCTCATGTGGCTGAAAAATGCAGGAGAATATGTTTAGGAAGGCTGTGTAACCTCATGAAGCTGAAACATATGTTTGGCAAAGGAGCCATCATTTGGACATTTGCAGAAAATAGCAAGTTACAGAGTGGGATTTTTTTTACCAGCTACATATCTGATAAAGAGCTAATATATAAAATATATAAATAACTAAAAAAACTGTACATCAAGAAAACAACCTATTTCCCAATTGACAGTGGGGTTGTTCTAGGTAGGATTTCTATTGCTGTGAATAAAAACCATGACCACATAAAGTTATAAAGGAAAATAATTAATTGGGGTGGCTCGCTTACAGTTCAGAGATTCAGTCCATTATCATCTTGGTGGGACTTGGTGGCATGCAGAGAGACATGGTCCTGGAGAAGTAGCTGAGAGTTATACAAATTGCAGGCAACAGACAATGGTCTGTCTCACTGGGATTATCTTGAATATAGGAGACCTCAAATTTCACTCTCACAGTGACACATTTCCTCCAATAAGGCCATACCTACTCTCACAAAGCCACAGCTCCTAATAGTGCCACTTCCTTTGGGGGCTATTTTCTTTCAAACCACCACAGGGGTATAGATCTAATTAGAGAATTCAGAAAAGAGATAAGAACAAATGGCTGAGAAAACCTTAAGGAAATGTTCAGCATCCTCAATCATCAGGGAAATGAAAATTAAAATTGCTTCAATATTTAATTTTACACATGTCAGAACGACTAAAAACAAACAAGAGGCAGTGTAGGAGAGAATAAGGAGTAATAACAACATTCTTCCAATGCAGGTAGGAGTGCAAACATGTATATCCATTAGGGAAATCAGTGTTCTGGTTCTTCAGGAAGATGGGACTTGACCTACCTCAAGACACAGCTATACCAGTCTTGTGCATATACTCAAAAGACACTCATCCCTTTCACATGGAAAGGCATATGTTCTTAACCTATATGAAAAATAATTCTGCTTTATAAACTTAAGAAATCATACTGGAAGTAGAAGATAAAAGGAAATATGAAACAAAAACATTTGTAATCATCATACAACTATAGGAGGAAAAACTATCTCATTAATGAAGTATGTGCTTATATACCATAGAGACATCTCCCTTGATGCCGTTATTAACAGATCCTCACTGCTAAATTGTCCCACTAACCTGTGTGCACTGACACTCACAGAGGTCTAGTACACTCATAATCCATGGAAGCTCTTCACAGAAATTCATTGCTGAGTCTGTCCACTTTCTTGACTTCTAAAACAGAAAGCATAACTTCCTCTTTTTCTCATCAATTTCTTCCCAGCACCTGCTGAGATCTCTAGCTTTCCTATCTTCTTTTACTACTGATAGACACACCAATAAAGCAGTTATTTCTTTTGTGTATCATGTCCTATTAATTCTTTGGCAATTTAATAATGCATTCAATGTATTTTGAATACAGTCACACCATTCCTTCCTTTAATTCTCCAAAATCCCATCTACCTTCCCAACTTCGTGCCCTCGTTCACACTTGTTTGTTTCAGTAACTCACCTAGTCTAATTTGTACTTCCCACATACTCATGTATGAGGGCCATCCACTAAAACATGGTGCACCTGCCAGGATACACCTTTGAATGAAACTAATTCTTCCTCCTTTAGAAGACATAGACTCCAGTTGTGCCTCAGCCAGGCACAACTTGTGATTCACCACCCAAGATAGAAAGTAGCTGGATTTGTTTATTCATGTTCTCACATATTCCTCTGAGTCCTCCTATGAGTTTCTTTCCTATAAGATGGAGAACCTGCTGAAAATTGCTAGAAAGTATACAATATGTTTGCTGGAGACAAGGTCCCCTGCTCACCCGCACCCCCCCATCACCAACAGGGTCATATCTAGTGTGTTCCCCAGGGAGGTGCAGGGTCTGCTTTCCCATGTGCTGCAGCCAGTGAAGGGCAGTCTGGCTTTTCCACTCTCAGGACTTCAGTGGCTGCTCCCTCACATACCATAGGTGATGAGGTACAGGGGAGTGAAGGCATTCCCTCCTTCCCCCACTCCACTGTAAGGCAGATGAGGCGTAGTACCAGATATCCCACATGTTCACTGTGTCAGATCACCTGTATACCCCCTCACCCACACCCACACCCATCAATAGGGCCAGCCCTACTGTGTTGCCCAGGCTTATGAGAAGCAGGGTCAGCTCTCCGGCTCTCATGACCTCTGGACCAGCTCTTCCAACATTCAGTAGGTGGCAAGGGATGAGGGGTCAGGAGGCTATTCTTCCCCTGTTCTTGCTGCAGCATGTCTGGCAGTGGAGCTGGTTCTCCCCCTCTTACACCACTCTCACACCCACACCCTCATGGCCAGTTCACCTATGCTACCGTCAGTGGGTACAGCTCTACTGTGCTGACCAGATGAAGTGCATGGCCAGATCTCCCCAGTGCCAAAGCCGGTGATGGGTGGGGCCAATTCTGTTGAGCTGTATCCTCCCTGCCTTTAGTGGTAACAGGAGCCATGGACATCAACACAGACCATGGCTGGCATAGAGGCATTGATCCAGACACGGCGTTAGCAGAAGCCCAGGTCAGGTAAAATACCATGGATGTTTGGGATAGTACATGCCACCCACATCTATATGTACTCAGCAGCAACACAGTCCTTAAAGACCAATATGGTTACAGGTGGTACCCCAGATCCAGGGCATCCATGTGAACTTTGGGTGTAACAGAGGCCACAAATATCAACAGATTCAGGCTGTGGTAGGACCATGGATCCAGACATGGTTCTTGGTAGCAGTCTGAACCTGAGTCTGGATATCATTGTGGCCTTAGTTGGCATTGCAGGTCACCCAGATAGGCAGGGCCTCAGGGGCAGTGTGACCCCAAAAGGCCAACATGTCCTCAGGTGGCATCCAAGACTGTGCCTTCAATGGTAACAGGAGTCACAGATATCAGCACAGACTCTGGGTGTAGTAGAGCCACGAACCCAGGCATGGGCCTCTGGCATGCTTTTGGTCCAGATGACACTATGACCTTGGGTGATAGCCTAACCACTAAATATCAACAGGGCATCAGGTGTCAGCCCAAACTACAGGTCTCTACATAGCCCTCAGTGGCAAAAAGAACCAGACATCACCACTGGCTCCCTCAGCTGTGCCAGGGCCTCAGACCAAGACTTGACCCTTGGCAAGAGCCCAGTCCTGGACATCGTCTTGAACTCAGGTGGCAAGCAGGTCATTCACATCAGCCTTTCCCTCACCACCTTCACCTCTTCAGATCTGCTTCTCTCCTCAACCCATGAATCATTTAGCTTTTCTTTCTCTCCCATTTACGGTGGCCACCCTGTGGCCATCCATCATAATGGTGGATGATGAGTCCATGATTGCGTTCTATCTGCCCAAGCTGAAAGGCATGGCACAGAGCTATTTCTGTTCTCTCTCCTGCACTTGGGCCTAGAAACCTATTGTATTATATTTCTATATATTACTTACATATGTTGAACCATTCTTGAATTTCAGGAATAAAGCCAAATTGGCCATGTTGGTTCATCTTTCTTATGTATGTCTTTACTATGTTCACAAGTATTTGGTTGAATATTTCTGGGTCTTACAGTTTTTCCATGATATTGGGCTGCAGTTTTCTATTTTTGTTGTGTCTATACCTGATTTTGGCATTAGAGTGATTCTGGATTTGTTGAAAGAGTTTGGGAGCACACTTTCTGTTTCTGTTTTCAAAAATAGTTGAAGAAGGATTGGCTATAAATCTCTGAAAGCCTAGTTGAATTCTGCTATGAATCATTTTGGCCCTTGGTTTTTAAAGTTTTAGCTGGAAGTCTTTTTATTACTATTTCAATCTCATTTGTTGAGCATCTGTTTATATTGAGAACGTCTTGGTTTAATCTGGTATTGGAAATTTGGTTTGCAAATCTTTGGTTTCTCTCTTTTCTAGCTTCACGGGTTATAGTTTTTAGTAGGATACAGGTTTTGAAGTATTTGCTTATAATGTTTTGAAATTCTTTGGTATCAAATGTCTTGTTCCACTGTTGAATCCTTATTCTGTTAACTTAGGCACTTTATTTCTTTTGGTTAATTGGTCCAGGGTCTTCCATTCTTGTGCATCTTCTGAAATATATAGTTGTTAGATTTGTTAACGTTTGCATTTCTCTCTTAGTTTTAATTTCATTGA